CAAGTTAAATAGTGCATTCAGCAGCAGACTCAGCATGCAGACAATAAAATGTGCAGACCATAGCTTTGGCTCATCATAAAACTTCCAGTAATTGAGCTGTGTCTCACATCGCTTAGACGTATAGAACTCTTAGGTTCATTTATCATTTAACTTTGGGAGCAAACGGTTTACTTGAATCCCACTGTCGGAACGCGCATAAGGCCTGCAAATGTGGCCAAAACAGTGAAAAATCTGTAAATGTTTTTGCGACTTTTCTATGCCTATGAATATCTCGCATTTGAGTGCATTCATATACATCTCCATACTAACGTTTGCATGCGCAGGTATATATATATATATATATATATATATATATGCATACGGCGCGTGTAGCGCAGTGGTCAGAGGAGCCCTGCAACACACATGGAATCGATTCCTGAGCCCATGGCCCACCAAGCCTTCCATCCCTCTGGACTCGGCAAATTGGTACCAGACTCGTCTGGGAGGATAACAGCACTGGCTCGATACATCGGTTGGCCACCGTGAGTCATTGTAAAGGCCAGATATGCATTCAGTCATCTCCAAACGATCCTTAATGAAGTCGAATGAATGGCGCATCCCTCAGGGATTGATCAACGTCAAGAGCTTTATCTCTTTTTATCCTTATATATACAAGGATGTACTTATATTTATGTGGTGTGTATGTATCTATGTATGTGTCTGTTATATCAAGTATGTCTGTGTCCCAGGATCGACTTTCTTTTAACCTCGGCATTGGAATATGAATGTGTCGTTTTCTTGTTCAGCAATCAACCAACCACATGCGACTATAATCAGCTGTTCTAAACTTCCTCATTGGAAGTCACGAAAAAGCGGCTCTGAAGAAGGCGATACTGCCGAAACGTCAGCTAGCGTTGTATTGTATTGTGTTTTTTATGGAAGTCAATGTATGCTGTTTAAAGACCTCGCGATTGCTGAACAAGAAAACGACACATTCATATGTCTGTGTCATTCGAACACTTATTTTGAACACTTTAGAGCTTTACATCACTTACCGCTTACTCTAGTTATTCAGCTAATTTTATCGCCCTCATTTCAATGTATTAGTTTCTATGGTTCAAAATGATACTAGTTTGAGATGTTATTTCATTTCTTTATTTACGTACACGACCAACACCAAACCAATACGATTCCGTGTGAACTCTGTTGGTCTCCACGTGACATATTTAGTGGAAGACTCACAGAAAGCGGCTCTGAGGAAGACGAAATCCGCCGAAACGTCAGCTTGTACGTAAATAAAGAAATAAAATAACACCTCGTGTTTGCTAAACAGAAGTAGAAAGAGTTATTCAACCAATGCCGAGGTTAATAGAAAATCAGACGTGGGAGTTACTAATTTGAGATTTATAGCGGGCTTTCGTTCCAACAGTCTTGAAATTTTCAAGCAAAGTATTTTTCAGGTGACTTTTAAGGAAGTTAACAAAAATTTTTGTCCTTAGTTTTCAGTGTAGCTGCAAAATGCTAGCTCGTATGGAAGTCTGTTGATAAGCAATCGCCTAGTGAACATACCTCTGAGCAATTTTGAGTTGCCTTTTGACTTTTTACACTAGTATTACACTTTATCGAAGATTAATTAGGTGTACGTTTTTGTTGCATTTTTATTACTGAGGATGCCGTGCAAATAACTGTGTTTGTTTTGAAATGGTACTGATACCAATGCAAGGTGGTCACAACTCGAACCATTGATGAAGTACTGCCTTCAACTCCAATTTAATTTTGCGTCTTCTTTGTCATCTGTAATTCCACAGGATATCTAGTGATTCGAGCGGGACCAGTACAATGTAAGTCGTGTAGTCAGGCAAAGAAACATTGTTTTGTTCTGAACCTGCAAGTTTACCAAGCTCTTGAAAGTCGATCCTTGAATGCATTATTGGACTCTATTCTTTTTTATGTTCAGTATTTTGCTGAAAAGAAAATCAAGAGGCCGGTCAGGTTACTCAAAGCCGCCCTACATATGACATACAAAGCTTCGAATAACGATAATTTTGCTCGTTGTGCCCTATCGTTAATTTTTCACAAGCTATTTTTATGTCGACCTCTTTTATGCGGCGATTTCCAGAATTCTCTTGTTTGTTGGGATAGGTCCTGTGTCCAAAGAGTGGTTGCGGCTGTGAAAAATGTTCCATGTTCAGCAAGCCTTTTCTAGCGAATCGATTGATTTGATGTCGAAAGGGTAAATTCGTCTAAGCCCACTCCAGGAAACGTCTTTTCTTATATCAATAGGCAAAACAAACCGCTTATCTAGGAATTGTTCCGGAAGAAAAAGGTCATTAATTGTTGCCAACAACCCAATACATGAAGTTAAGAGGCAACCGGACACCATTTTCTACCATTCCTTTCATTGACGAAATTCCCTCGCAAAATTTTCAGTTAATTTTCCTTAAAATTTTACACCAATTGCTAAAGCGTTTTGATGTGTGCAAGATGTTTCACATTCTTTACTTTGTGTTTGCGTCTTCAAAACTGGAAACTCATTTGTGTTGCTCAGCTCTAAATTGTCAGCTACTTTTTGAAATGCACTTGAAGTTTTGCAGTGAAGAAATTTTTTTTAGTTTGTGGTTAAGCAGAGTTCATTTCGCCGTTTGCATGTTTTCGTTTTCACCAACGTCGTAAACGAATATGGCGTTGTAAACTAATTTGTCCATTGAACGACAGCAATCGCTGTTCTATTAGGTTCTTTGGAAATCAATCGCCGTTTTTAAAAATTTATTTTTTTTAACGTATTTTTTACCAGTACAATATTACTTTTGCCTTGCAATATTTCAAATTATCAAAAAGCTGATTTTAAGCTTTTTTAGACAGGTTTTTTATTTTGTCAAAATTTAAATTCTTTTACCAATTTTAAGCTTTGCAGTTTTAGACGTCATGAACGAATTTTCTTCAAATTTTCTTTCATGAGTTCAAACTCTTTTGTAGTGCAGCACAGACGACTCGAAACATTAATGAAGTTTAGAGTGAAAATGGTGTTGCTGAATCAACAGTGTAAACATGGTTCCGGAAATTTCTATTTGGTGATTTCGACCTCGAAGATAGGGAAGGCCGTGGATGTCCCAAGGAATCTGACGACGGTGAATTGAAGGCAGTAGTGGAAGCAAGCACGCGAGCAACTGTTCGAGAGCTTGCAGAACAGCTTGGCATAAGTACAGGAATAATTTCTGCTTGCTTGAATTGCATAGGAAAAACAAAAGAAAAGCTCGACAAGTGGGTGCCGCACGAATTAAACGATGATCAAAAAGTCGCTTTTCTGAAGCGTCGTGTGCTCTTATTCTGCGCAACAAAAACGACCATTTTGTTGATCGAACTGTGACATTGATATTGTCATGCGACCACAAGTACATTCTGTACGATAACTGGAGTCGTTCAGCTTGATGGTTGGGTTGCAATCAGGCTCAGAAGTATTGCCAATAAATAGACGGAATACACCATAAAGTCCACAACAACGACAGATATTAGTCAACAAAAAAGGACCAAACCTCCACGTCGACCCCCGGTCTTACGTTGCGGAACCAACGTTACAGAAGTTGAATGATTTGGGCTACGAAGCCGTCGTCCGCCGTATTCACCAGGTCTCTCACCTATCGGCTATCACTTCTTCAAACACCTTGACAACTTCCTGCTCGAGAAATGCTTCACCAACCACGATGACGCAAAAAATACCTTCAACGAATTCATCACTTCCAGAACTCCAGAGTTTTGTGCAATCCGAATGAGTAAATTTGTTTCTCGTAGACAGAAATGTGAGGATTGAAAGAGCTCAAATTTTAATCAATAAATTTTTGTTTGAAGCGTGTTGGTAGTTGTAGTTGGCGTGTTTTTTTCGGCCCAAAGTACCTACACTATCCAATTTGGAACCATAAAAATAAAAATTTTTCAAGCAGGGATGAGATGCGCGAGTAATGGACAAGAAAAAACAAGAGGAAGTGTGCTAGCTATAATTGAAGAAAAGTGAACAGCTTAGCGAACGATGTAATGAGTGGTAAGAACTGCAAAATTTGTTCTGTGTGTTACAGCAGCTGTGAGTAGAGTGTCAGTGTCTATAAATGTATATTATAAAATCATGACAGGCTTATGACATTATATGAAATTCAACCACAGTGATGTTAAGATATTTGCAAAACTCCGGATCGTAGGTGTCTGCGGTCAGGATCGAGCCTGTTATTACCCTTTTCAGGGGATAACGTATTCACCACCACACCATATGGGTTCTTCGTTTAGTCTTTCTCTCATAGATGGATTATTATAAAACGTGAAAGTATATATGAGCATGTATGTGTGCTCCATAGCACTTATTATTTAGGTAAACACTGTCCGTTCACAAAAAGAGGAATCAAGGATGAGACATGCAGTTCCACCTTCTAGTGCGTTGCCGAGAGTAGCCGCAAACCGCAGTCGACCTCAAAGCATGTTATCGCAAAATAGTCAGGGTAAATTCGGTTGAAAACATTATACATGACTCATTATGGGTTCCAGAAGCAAAAGTCAAGTAGGAGTAAATTTTATGCTTTGTTTATAGTCAACTTTATTTTCAGTGTTATGCTTTAATTTAGCTTCATCTGGGCTAGAAAATATCGTATGGAGGAATTCGAGCTTCTCAACGAGCACAATAGATTCTCACCGTAGACTAACAATATCTGGTGATGATACTGCTCAAAGAGTGGTATGTTTTTGAAGAGTGTATACATAAGTGGGTGAAGAACACCTTCAAGAAAGCCCATCACAAAGCTATTTTTGTCATACACACCTGCCGTTATAAGTTTTGGAAGTTAGATTGTTATATTTTGTTCACACTATTCAAAAGTACTGGATCATAATAGAGTAACAAGAAACTGCAACAGGATATTTATTCTGATACATGGATAATCCAGACATACCTGTCTATTGTTATGCGTAAAGTAATCGACGCAACTTAAAAAATCATTATTTTTTATTGATGGCGATCAGAGACCTGAAATTTCACATCATTACCCGAACCACAAACTTGAAACCGAATGAGAACTCACTTCGTACCATGGTCAAGATTTATTCGCTGTTGTTCATTTTTGAATTCTGAAAGACACACTTAGAATGAACAATGTTTATAAATGAATACTATGAAAAGAACTATTACCTATCATCGATGACGTCCATTTCATATGAGCGCTTTCCTGGTCTGAAGTGTAGGCGACCCATAGCCATGTTTCTTTTGTAAAATTCGCTGTAAATACTTTTTAAGTCATACGTAATCACTTCTGCAGTTTATTACTTAAAATCTCGCCTCTCATTTGTGTCTTCCAAAATTGAACCAACTTTCTTTCCGTGAAGAAAGTTCACGGGTGCCACAGCTAAATTATGCTTTCCAGATCTGGAAATGTGATGACATTCCTTACCTTGGGTAGGTTAAAAAACTAGTACGTAGAAATGTCTATTTACTTAAAACAAGAACTTTTTTGGGACGGGAGAGGGGCATTTGGTAAGGTGATTAGAGGCACCCTGCAATAAAAAATAAATAAAGGATAAAGTTTTCGGTGTTGATCAATCTTTGAGAGATGCGCCATGCATTTGATTTCATTAAGTATCGTTGGAGGTGACTGAATGCATATCTAACCTTTAAAATCACTCGCAGTGGCCTACCGATGTATCGAGCCATTGCTGCTATCCTCCCAGACAAGTCTAGTAGACCCCGGAAGCATGGAAAGCCATGGACGCAGGGATCGATTTCACGTGTATGTCGAAGTGGTGCCTCCAACCACTGTGCCACTCGCGCACTACAATATGTATGGGAATGATCCAGCGCCCCAAGCTCACCAAGCCTTTCATCCCTACGGAGTGGGCAAATTGGAACCAGAATAGTCTGGGAGGATCGCAGCGCTGGCTCCATACAGCAGTAGAACACCGCGAGTCATTGTAAAGGCCAGATATGTATTTAATCACCTCCAACTATGCTTAATGAAGTTGAATGGACGGAGCATCCCTCAGGCGCACTGGCCACCGAGAGCTTTTCCATTAAAATTGAAAGCTTAAAGTTTTTAGCTTTGAGAACACTTTTTGCTATTGTATATATGGAGTACGTCACTTGGCACTTGCTATATGACATGACATATATGCTATATGACAACGTATCGCAATGAGCGGTAATGAGTGAATACATTTTCGGTTCCCAATGGTGACAGGAATTGTAGGCTTAGAAGTAAGAAAAACAACACCTCAATGGCAGAATTTTTCACAAATATCCATTTAGGATATATATATAACATGGTATTTTGGCTGATTTTAGTTTAGCAGAAGCATTTTTTCAATAATAGATCTACAATTTGCCTCGTAACACTTTTTGATAGAAGAAAAGCAACAAGGGATTTTTTGGTGGCTGGGAAAGAATACATCAAAATATTCAAGTGATGTAGCAACCACACAGAAAAGTAAGGAAAGTCCTTAATTATTCGCTCAATATTTGGAAATCCTCCATTAATACAAACTCTTTGGAAATCTCACTATCAATATATTTTAATATTGTGGTTTTTTCAAAGCATTTTTGAGTATTGTAAGCCATGCTCACCTTTTTCCGGGGCGGAAACCACTTCTGCCAAGCGCAATACTTCGTTTGCCCATGCTTTCCTCGCTCATAGAACGTGGCATATCATTGTTTACATCGTTGTCAAATTCGTTAAAACCAAGCTGAGAGTTCACCATATCAACGACGTGCGGATAGCTGATAAGAGCGAATTCTTCAACAGGATGTGAAACACCAAGGCCTTGCTGAAGAGACTGCGTTAGTAGACGGATAAAGCATTGGTTATGTTGAATGCAATGGAATTTACCGATAGAGGTTTTAAAATGAATATCGACATAATCGGATGGTGATGCACATCGGCTAGTGTGTCATTTGCTGCTATGACGTTGGCGATCGCCATCGTCGTAAGACCAAGGAAAGTCAACATTTTCGGCCAAGGTGAAGTTAGCTGTGATGTAGGAGGCTTTTATACGAAGTACGACAATGGAAATTGAGAGGGAATGAGCACATTAGTGTTTTGTGACGATAGTACAGCGAATTGTAGCTAGCCAACGGCGAATACAATGCCTAAGCAATTGCACATGCATGCGACGGTGATTGTAAAAAAAATCGGAGGTTGAGTTGAATGAAAATGACAGGCTTTCATGTTGCTATAGATAAAGTTGATATTACTATTTTGATAGCGAGCAAGAAAAAAACAAATTAAAACTAGAGGCTAACCTTATCAGAAAGCTTTCCATTAGTCTTAAAATCTATTTTATGCACTGATTTCTATCATAAGGACGTAAAAACAACCAACCACCAATTCCAGGTGTAACCGTAAATAATCGGAATCCGCCGAAACGTCAGCTTAATCGTGAACAAAGAATAATAACACCTCGCGTTTGCTCAACAAAAATACGAAAAAAATTACCGTAAATAATGTTTTGCCACCTTGCCAACTCCATCAAGAATTACAATACCACATTAGTTTATCTTATAGATCCACATTAGTTTATCGTATAGATATACCAAATGAAGTGCTTCCTAAGCTCTTCCATTGCGAACCCTCATAGAATGAAAGTTTTAGTAACTAAAAACAGTTGTCATTTCAAGCATTAAGCTGTTTCCGCGCTCGTCGTGATACCTTTGCTTGCGAAGTGGCTATATCATGAGAATTTTGAATTTATTGCAGACAAAACTAAAGGGCTTGCTGAAAGAGGAGTTAGAGATCGTCCAAAAAGGAATGGAAACGGCACTGAAACTTTGCGACTGGTATAGGGCTCGGTTGACATCGCTGGACAAAAGGAAACGTTTGCTTGAACAAGGCTTGGTGGCACTGGTAAGAGTGATCATAGCCCGTTTTAGATTTCCGTAGTATTGCAATGTAATAAGCATAAAGTACTCACAAGACAACTAATTTTTCTCCTATCTATAAGGCTTTCGACTGTGCTTGTGGTAAAGAATTGGTAAGATCTTTAGCATATCTACACCAAGATTTACAGGAAAAAAAATCCTCGTCAACCAGAGTTCAATATGTCACTGAGGCGGTAAAGCAATACTTCCACTTCCATAGACGAACCCTCATAGAAATTGGACTGTCCCCAAGGATAATTAATGTAGGAAACCGAAACGGACGGAGAAAGTGGTGCGATTCACATGACATGTGGGGTTTGACTAGGCCTTTCTTTACACTACAGTTGTCTTAGTGAGCACTCAGACAAAAGTGCCATCTAGTACCATCTACCTCCTAGTCCCAGACGTTGCTGGTTATATTTTCAATTCCGACTTCAATTTGGGCTCTACATGAGCAATCCTTACTTTCATGTATTGATAAGCTTCCAACTCTTTTACGACGTTTGTACAAATCCTTATTATGGCTAACCTTTTCCGGCTATGTCCTATTTCGAAACCGTATTATTTCGACTCAAATGCTTATAGTAGCCATCACTTAATGTGAATATTCGCAGTCGTTTCGAGCTGAATTCAGAGTGGAGCACCAGATGAATGAAGTGGGTGTATTACATTTTTATGCTATATGATTATTTCCCGCTGAGATGGAGTAACCTCACACGGCGGTTTCGCAAGATATAGGATGGTCTTTGGCCGGGTATCATCCAGGATTGTGATAGTTAATCCTGTAGCAGTAGAGCTATCCTGGGCTATTATTAGATGCCATAAAGCAAGGTTTACTGTACAGTATTCCACTCCATTCCATTGATTCTATTCGATGGCGATTACGAAGACTCACGTCGTAGGAAAGAGCAACTTCTGTGTACGCCCTTGTCGAATCATCACAGTTTTGAGCAAAACGATGGGATCGTGGCGTTAACCGTAATAAGGACTTCTTCGTATGGTGTTAACAGTGAATCCACTAGCAGGTTATCTATTTTGTTATTTACTAATGGGAAATCGAAATTGATGATCGTTTTTGTTTCCAGCTTTCTGAGCTGTGTGTTATCCGTCTTTAAAATTTTTGGAAGCAGCGCGACTGCTTAGAGCAACTTTGAATTTTTTCTTATTGTACTAAGCATTGCTTAATGTGCCTTAACCGACAAAATTGATTGATGTTAAAAAGAATTCTTCTTGGAAGAAAAAATCTGGAAAGGAGAAAAAACGAAGCAGTGATAGGTCGTACATTCCTTTCAGGAAACAGCAGTCCATGAGCAAAAACTAAACTTTCTTCGAGCTCATGTTACAGAGCTCAGTCGACGTATAGTTTCGCTCATGGAAACTAATGAGCGAGGCTTTCCGTCTCATGCAAACTTGCAGGTGGGACTTAATATCGCTTGTAACGTTTCGTTTCTCTCCTCATCAAATTTGTGTTATATAAGCGCGTGTAGGGCAGTAGTTAGAAGTGTACTGCGATAAACACGTGGTCTTTGGCTCGATCCAGCGCCAAGGGTTCGCCAGGCCTTTCCTCCCTCCGGGGTCGGCAAATTATTACAAGACTTGTCAGAAAGAATAACAGGCCCAACACTATGTGACTCTGACTCTCCTCTCATCGACGGCCCACGTGATAGTAAAGACCATGATAGTTTATTCTGTATAGGTCAAAGGTGCATTCGATCACCTATAGGGGTGCTTAATGAATTCGAAAGTATATCACATCCATTAGGGATTGATCAACGCCACTGCTTTATTCTTTTTATCCTTTTGTGGCAAGTAACACCGTATCGGAAGTGTACTTTTAATCGACAACATCTTTTTAAGAACTGTCGCATCGATGAACCAAGTTAACTAGTTATGGTGATTTTTCTGCTGCCTTTCTAATATAACACGCTTTAGTGTGCTCATAGATAAACCGTTTTCCATGTACTCAAACGCAGATTTGGCAACGTTTCTAAGTAGAAGATGCAGTTGTCAAAAAAAGATTTTAGAGAAGCAGCCTTCCTCAACCTTACGATGACCAACTAGTTTGGTTGCATCGGCAGAATTTGATGCTAAACCAGGTGCTTCTTTATTTATCACTAAATTGTGATGCTATTCACTTGCTTTCAGTTCGGTAGCTTGTAGTGACGTAAAACTGAAGAACGAAACAATAATAATAATCCTTTTCACATGTTCGTTCATTATATGTCGTTGAACCCATGATCCTAATGGAATTCGCAAGTACATCTGCAATGAGCCCAGTGATTTTTCATACCCACTATAATTTGTTATGACGTCACATAACGCTGTAAGATACTTTTGAAGTGTTGTTCTTAAAATTGACTTTTTTAACCATGATAGTTTATTCTGTTTATTTTATTCTACTGTCCTACCATCCAAATTTCCACCGCATGTCAGGAAGAAAGCACTGATTCATGGAAATTGTTGGCTTAACACTAGGCGTGTTTCCAAGATGTCCTTACGTCCTGTAGAAGTGGTATGGACAACACGGTGGTGTTCGGTATTCGCATCATTCTTTCACTCAAAGGTCACCTATTCCTCACTAGAGTCTTTCGCAAGCCACATCTTTTGTATCAACTTCATTCCCATAAATCAAATAGGCAGTATGGCCCAATGTCACTCCCTTTATCCCAGCCGCGTACCATGCTTTCCATCTGCTCTATACATGAGACCCTTTACTTTTACCGTTTTTGTCGAGAGAGTGCCCTTGTGTAACTTGCTAACATTGCTTGATACTTCTTTATCAATGAACTTCGAACTTGGGTCCTTCGTATACAGTAAGAGGTGTGTCGTTTTCATGTTCGGCAATTTCGACGTTGTTATACAGCGTACATTTACTTCCGCACAAAAAACATATAACACAACACTAGCTGACGTTTCGGCAGTATCGCCTTCTCCAGAGCCTGGAAAGGTATAATGATATGCAATTCACTACGCTAAAGTCTTCAATAAGCAGACGAAAATCTATATGGTAATCGTATGATCAACAACCCGGAAAACCCATCGTTTTTTAATATGCCTTCCACCGAGAAGAACTGCTGATTAGAGTCGCATATGGTTGATGATATATGGCACCACCGCACATCAAAAGTCAATTCTGATATATGGGGCTAGATCCCGTTAATCTCTAGGTATTCTTCTCTGGTATTCATTCACGGATTCTTGGCATTTAACCAAAAAAGCCTCGAGAAGTTTTTGCGTTGGTGTTTGGGTGTCCTGTGCAAGAGTAGTGACTTCTATATTGAAATCGTTCCCGCTATGCTTTTGTATCCTATGCGTGCCTAGTGGGGTACTTTATCTTACCTTTCGTTTGCCATCTAGGTGTCTATTTATAGGGATACATGAAGGTCTGCGCGTTTCACCAATATATTCACCTTCGCAATTATTACAAGAGATTAGGTATATCGTACCTGAACTCATGCACTCACCGTCCCTGCCATAAGGGCAAATTATGCAATTCTGTGTTTCACATAGAAGGTCTTACAAGCGGTTACGAACTAACCGACGACGTAGAGTATCCGATGGTATATCAGCTGCCGCTACCGATTCCTCTAAACGTGCCCTTCTGAAGCGTCGTTTTATAACTACGCTTACTTCATCGCTAATAAAGAGCAACATAAACGGAATTTCCTTTCGGCCAAGTGTTTCGTTTTGGCGCGTCTCTCTCTTTCTAAACTTATCTCGTGTGGTTACTACTTCGTAGCCCTTGCTAAGCCAAGCCGCACGATTCTTTTTTAGTTTCCTCTTCGTGCACACAGAGGTGGCTGTACGGAACATGTTTCTCACAATCACCCTATTTGTGTGTGAAGGCTTGGAAGAGAGGGTGTGAACAAGGATTTTCATGCTACTTGGTTTTGTAAGCTGTGTCTTTTTTTGTCTCGATCAATTAGAAGACAGCTTACTAAGAGATTGCTTTACGCCTATGGAAGCTGCCATAACAATCGAGCGCGCATCGCATCCATAGATTGTTAATATGATGCTTAAAAATTTTGGCAGTCTGAAATAACCCTGGAATTTCAGCAGTCGTTCTTTGTTCGTTCCTTCCAAGTTCCACATCGAGGGCATGTTGGGACTGAGGGGAAGGATTGTTTTTTTTTTGTTTCTTATGCGAGGGTAACCAGAGCAGATGGGAATTTTTGATGTAGAATACTTCGAATCTCCTGCTATCGTATTTTGTTTTGCTCTGTTACAAAGATTTGATTGAATCATTGTATAGGATACAATCTTCATATGCTGTAGCACAACCAATTTGTGCGTGCGTTAGTATACCCCTAATCATGTACGAACGAGTTACATAATTCTGGTACAACAGTGAAAGAATAAGGAACCTATCTCCTTTATACAATGCCTGTGGGCTGATGAAACCGTTGCTAAGTAGTGCTCAACACCTTGGAGGCAATAAGAATTGATTTCAATGCACGTTGCACCAAAACGATAGTCGCTTTCAACCACAAATTAGTTTGGCTTTACCAATAATGGACATAACTGGTTGAAATAAAAATTGTTAGAATCTAGAATCTTTGCCTGCAGAAGGTAAATTCGTCAACAAAGATTAAATCTTACACCTCCAAAACAGATTTCTTCATGTTTTTTTTTTGTTAGAACTAGAATTTTGAATACGAAAGCAATAAAACAAGCAGAGTTTCCTCTAGCAGAGAACGATAATCTTTCCCAATGAATTCTTGGTTTGTGCACCTGCCATGTTTGTGTGGAGACTTCGAAAAACTAAATGTCGTTTTGATTTTTTTCATTTGATAATTTCTGTCCTAAGCAAATTTACCATTGAGGGAACATTTCGTAAAAAATGAACATGCCCCTTGGGCGATCGAGCTAAATCTCTTCTGTAGGCCGATTACGTATTCTACTTCTTAGGTTCTCTAGTTACCGAAAATTCATGGACAGTGGTTGAGAATGGGTTAAGCCATCACCCACATCTCGTAGTGTGGAAAACACTTCCGCGGCTAATCGGGTTTCGATTCATTTGAAAGACGCGATCCGTAACTTTGCATAGCATGAGAAAGTTTCTTGGGCGATTCCGTTTTCTTTTTCTTTCGCTGTCGTAAAGGAATTGGCTGTTAGCTGGAATTCCTAGTGAAAAACTGATTACACATTTTGCGTCAATATGTCGAACGGCTTTTTACATGCCCGTTCACGAATAGAACCTTCACAGCACACGATACAAATCCTAGACAACAGCGATGTTTATATTCTGAACTGATTGTACAGCTTCGATAATGCAATCGTGATGCACGAAATTGATACAAACTGGTTAACTTAGAACCTTTACCTGGTCGAAAAAAGAACTCGCCAAAGCTTTCATCCCAGTTTCCTCAGAAAAAAAGTTGCTCTTTAGGAGCTGCTTGATAAGACTCAAATGCTGGAAGAAATACGAAAGGAGAAAGAAAATGCTTCAAATTGCGTTGACAGTTGTGTCAACTTAGAACGAGTGCAACCAACAAGGTAAATATCCGTAAAGTTTTTTTGGCTTATTGATGGGTTTAGGCGTGGTTTGCAAAACAGTCCTGGTATTCCACTTCTTTGGATTCGAATTGGTGCGAATTTGAATGCCATAACATCGTCAGCGACTTTAAATCTGCATTTGACCGTCGGCTTAAACGGTTGATCGTGATAAAGAGTTTAGCCAACCATGTGTAAGTTTATCAGTATGTCAAGATATTGTTTATTCGTTCCGAGTTCCAGAAATTTTTTCGAAAAAAGGCATGCAGGTAAACAGCAATGTGCTGCAGCTACCGTATCCCCGTTTACTTTTCTGGTGTATAAGTGCTCTAACTACATCATAATCACTGTTTATGATGCTCAGATTTAAAGAAGTCTGTTTAAGTGACCGACTAATTTTTTAGGCCAGTAGTGTCTCAACAAAGACCGTCAGCATTTGTACGACCAGCAGTGCATTACCAAGCCATGAAGCATGTTGCTGCATCACCCGTTGGAACCTACGACACCCTTATGTGAATAAAGTTCACCTATTTTATTGTTTATGAGTTTTAGAGAATAACCTTTGAGTGAAACAGAACGATAGTTATAATGGCGCTTAACACTTCAATGCTCAAGTTTTCTAATAAATATTACGATTGATCATGTTGCAGAATTGTTCGAAAATGCTTGGTAGTTATGGGCAAAACTTTTTGACTGCTTTTTTATGTCTCGGTAAAAATTTCCTAGCTACATTTTCTCGAAACAGTTCCATCCAGTGCCTGTTAATTTGTGTCCTGTACAATTCTACTTATTACGTTTATAAGTTTTGACCGTCCGCAATCACAATATGGTGTTCCAATCAATTTTTGTGTTTAGGCTTACGTCATATTCTAAACATGCTCATCGTTCACATTCTCTCACTTTTTTTGATGTCACATGTTTTGAAGAAAAGAAAAGTATAAAGTAAAAGTATAAAGTATTTTGAAAAGTATAAAATTCTTGTGGCCTTCATATGAAAAATAATATCGCATAACAGAGTGAACCACAGAAACTCCTGCTAAGCGTTTCCACACTCGCGTTTGCCTAATCATCTCTTGTTTGACTCAATGTCCGTATTGAAGGATTCCAGGTGGTCTCCATTATCCTATGATGTGAATTCCAACAGGGTTCAATAGCAATTACTGTGGATATCGTTTTGCTTCATCATGTCCGCTCTTGTTTTCCACCTTCCTTTCAACAATCACTTACTTCGTGCACGAGATTTTTACGTGGCACTCGCTCACTATTTGCATGACTTCCATAGAGTGTTGGGGTGAATTAAAGTTCAGTTCACATAATTTCACCACTCAGGTTCTTTGAGGTAATAGATGTTTCAGAAGTGTTACTGCTTGCCATTTTACACCATGTAGTTAAGAAGCCCACTACTTTTTTCGAATTTTTTTTTAAAGAGTTCACTTACCTGGAGTTTCCTTGTTCTTAGTGTATCAAAAAGAAACATTTTTTATTTTATTTCATTTTATTTTATTTTATATGACCAGTATTCACGCCTCCCGTGCGGATCTCAGCACTTCCCACATTTGATTCATTTCCACGCAACCATTGTCCACGAGGATCTTCCAACTTCTACATGTGGCTTCGGTTGCTGCTTAGGGATTTTCAATTCATCTTGAATGTTGTAGAA